CCTAGCTAGGGCATCGCTGCAGCCCGTGGTGCTGCCGTGTTCTGCAAGCTGAAGACAGCGCTGGCTGAAGTGGGAAGGGGGTTTCCTGGATGGGGGAACGAGCACTAGTGAGAGGAACGTCCGTCTGCTCTTCACGCCTTTGAAGCGGAATCCAGAGGCTCAAGGAAAGGGTGCGCGCTCGGCATGTGCGGGAGCCGCCTCACGGGACGGGAACGCGCTTTCTAGAGCTCGTCCGAGCTGCGTGCGTGCGTGTGTGTGTGTAAATATATATGTATGGTATGGTTATATTTAAAGCTTGTATATGTTCTGGGCGAGTTTACTGCTCCTTCCATTTGAGCACTTTCATGTTAGTATTGTCTTTTGCGATGGCGCGGACTGAAAACGTTTTACTAGTACCCTTATGGCTTGTTTTGTATTTCTTCTGCAAAATACAAGCTCCTTTCTAAACCAAATGAACTGACCATGAGCTGGCTTCAGGGGAAATGGTACAAGACTATAACCAGGTATGCTGGTGAAGTGCTGGAATGTTCCTAAACATGTCCTGTGACTTTTACTTAAATTATTTAAACGATTTCCTTGAGAACAGTGGGAAGCAATGCCAGGATTGTGAATGCATTTGTAGGACCCTCTGGCACAGTGCATCGCTTTACAAATGTGGTTCTTTGTTGCTGTTTTATATAGAAACACAGTATTTTTCTATCTTAACGCTTATTGATGGCATCTGTCAGATATTTGAAAGGCTCAGAGATGAGATTTGTTCCCAGAAGTCCTTTATTTTACCTGATGAGCCTATCAGGCAATTATAAAATCCATGTGGTTTTAATGTCTGGAAAGCTCTAAAACGAACTACAGAAATGTCAGCCCTCGTTTGTCAAAGGCCGGGGTGAGCGAGGGCAGGGCCTGGGCCCGCTCCTCCTTCTCAAGGGAGGCACAGGCCAGAGGAGGCCGAGTGCAGGACACGTGGGTGGCAGCCTGGAGGCACCACCTCGAGGAGGGGCCGCCAAGCTCGAACACACATACAGCCGTCAGGCTAGCCCGGCCCCTGGCCCCACAGCAGCCTTGGTCCTGTGTCCATGTGAGGTTTATAAATAAAGCTGCCCATGTCAGACATCTCAGTTACTTGGTGCTCACTGTGGGGAGGCTCTTCCTTGACGTGAAGGGATGGGCCTGGCTTCCTGCAGTGCCCGCGCTGGGGTCCCGGAGCTGCCCCAGGGACCGAGGGTTGCCAGGGTTCTGTTTCTGTAATTGCCTGGTCATACAGCTTTTGAATAGCCAGAGAAAAGCGTAAGAAAATGATTAGGGGGACTGCGTGGAAGGTGGCCCACAGCTGTCGGGCTGTCCCAGTCCCTCCTGCCCCACCCCAGCCTTCTGAGCTCCCCAGCGCTGGCTCCGCGGCCTGTAGGTTTGTGTCTGTCCACCTGGTGGACCCTGCACTCTTCAAGCCCTCCCCTCTTCTTGCAGATGTGAGGTACCACGGCCCACAGCCAGCTGGATGGGGAGGAGCAGAGGGAAGATGAGGGATGTGGGGACGGAGAGTCACTGGTGCTGGGGCCGACTGTGGGCAGCAGTGGCTGTAGAGGGACAGGCTGGAGGAGGAGGAGCTGGCCTCTGGGGAGGTGCATTCTACAAGTACGAGCTGTCGAGAATTGCTGATGGGCTTCAGGTTGTAGGTGTGGAAAGAAAGGATGAAGCCCAAGTCAGAATTCGGTGTAAGTGGGAAGTGGGTAGTGCCCACGGAGGACAGGGAGCCCAGGACAGCCAGGGCACAGCCAGGAAACACTGGCCCCAGGAGGAGGCTTCCTGGGCTGGGCGTAAACTCTGGACACAGGTCCAAGGGTCATGGGAGCGGTGAGGAGGCCGGAGGAGTTGGTGACGAGGTGGTGTAAGCAGCAAGGCCATCGCAACTGGGACAGTCGCTCACCCTCGGCACAGCAGGAGCTGTCAGCCTTACCTACGAATGATACAGCCAAGGGGCCAAGCACACAGCTGGGTCCCCAGTCCCAAGCAAGGGGAAGGAGAAAAGGTTCGTCGAGGTGTGGCTAACGCTCTAGTCCAGGGTCAAAACCCTAGAGTTTGTCACCACAGATTGGGCAGCCCCAGTTCCCAGAAGCTCAGGGTCCGGTCTGGGGTCTGAGAATGTGTTTCTAGCCAGGTCCAGAAAGGTGGTGCTGGCCAGCCTAAGGGTTGTCCCTGGGGAGACGGGGGTGAGGCGGGGGTAAGGAAACCAAAGTGGGGACACAGATCTCTTTACTAGGCCAGGCCTGCCCATGAGAGGTCCAAACCCAGGCAGGCCCAAGCCTTAGGAAGGAGCCAGGCCCCTTGGCACCTGCAGAGGGACCAGAAGGCTGGGAGCTAGGGAAGGGCAGCCAGGAACAGGTGAGAGCTTTATTGGATCATAACCTGGGCAGCTTACGAGGCACAAAGCTCAGCGCCATGGACCGGGACCACCAGCCCTGCACTCCTACCAGAATCCCAGGATCCAGTGTGGCCCACCTGTTGGCTACCAGGAGCTGAAGTCCCCAAAACCCCAACTGGGCTTTTTCTTGGCTGCAGGGACAGCTGTACTGGTTGATGGTTCTTCCTCTGCTGCGCGTTTTCTGAGGAGAGGAGGAGGAGCAGGTTCCAGCTGCTACACGGGCACCAGGCCTCAAGCTGCGCCGAGAGCCTGTGCTGCCACCAGCCCCCACAGTCCCTCAGGGTGACTCGGCATCTGCACACAGCCTCCCCTTGGAAGCACCCCCAGTAACATGCTTCACCTCACGCCCGGGCCCTGATGGCCGTGGGCCGCACAGAGCAGGTCCCTCCGGCTGGGGTGGCCCCAGGACACAAGATTAGTCTGAGCCCGGCCCTGTGGTTCGCCACCCGCTGCGCCCCACTCACGTGGCTGCCGGGCTGATGTACTTGCCCACCCCCTGACGGCACGTCTGAGGGCCCTGGCTCCCAGACTGGGGCTGGCTGGTCTTCACCTTGGCCTCTGGGGTCACTTCAAGTTTCACCTTCCGCTCCTGAGCAATCTGGGGAGGCACGGTGCTGAGGTTAACCCGTGTAGGGGGCATGGGGCCCCCACCCTGGCAGCAGCCCTCCCCTTGGCACCCTGTGCCGTCCTCACCTGGGCATCGGCCTCCTCGTAGGGGTCCACGAACACTGTGGTGGCATCGATGCGGACTTCCTCCTGGTGGCAGGAGGCTCAGTGAGTGGGCGCACGGTGGGGCCCCTACCCCAACACCCCTCGGGCACACACCTTAGGGCGGTCCGTCTTGGGGTCACTCTCCACATTCTCCATGGCTGTCAGTGTGTCGAAGCCCCCAACGACCCTGCAGCCAAGGAACAGAGGGGTCTGCACGCGCCCCACGCAGTCCCCACAGCCGTGTTCCCAAGGCACGCCAGGACGGGGATCGGGCCAAGGGGAGGTGCCCACGAAGCTGCCCCGGGTCAGAATGGCGGCAGCGGGGCAGGGGCTGGAGGAGGAGGTGTGGGCATAAGGCCTTGCCAGATGCAGCGCTCAGTTACGTGGACAGAACCGCCCTGCTGCCCCATGTCCCTATCTCATGAGCTGTGACCCCGGAGCTAAGCCCTCGCACTGGGACCTTTACGGGAAAGTCTGCTGACCCCTGCCTGGACAAGACAGGACACGGCTAGACTTCTAACCTGGCCACCATCCAGAAGATGCCCAGAGCGGGAGGGCAGAGGGCTTGGGCCAGGGAGGCTGGATAGGCTGGGCTGGGACTCGGCTCCTCCTCTCCAACCTTCCCCAACCGAGACAGCCCCGCTGTGCCACCCTCAGCAGCGACATAGCGAGGGTACAACGAGCACAGTCCCAGTGAGGGGTCCCAGCTAGGGAGGGCACAGCCAGCTGTGCAACACCCCAAAATTCTCACGGCAGCTGCCCTCACCGTCCAAAGATGGTGTGCTTCTTGTCCAGGTACGCACAGGAACGGAAGGTGATAAAGCTGAGGAAGGAGGACAGAGGGTCAGGGGCTGCCTCGAGAGCCCTCCAGGAACCTGCAGCCTCCACGCACATCTCTGCAAGGCTGTTAGGTCACAAAGTAACCCCAGAGCTCCAGCTCCCCAGACGCTGCCAACCTCCCAAGCCGGCCCACGCAGCTGCTTCGGGAAGGCAGCCAGGACAGGGCCGGAGCTCAGCCACATCACAACAGGTGCTGAAGGACCAAGCACGGCAGACCAGGAGAAAGGTGGCACCAGCGAAGGAACTGAGAACCTTGGGTAACAACCACTCAGGCCCAGAGCACAACCCCACCGGGTACGGCACGGAAACTGGGCAGACAGAGTGAACAGTAAGGCTGGTATGTAAGACGGCTGAGGGGACTGCACAGTTCTCCCTGCGTCCTGTCTCGGGCTATGTGAGATACCACCGAGTGGCTTTACACTTAGGCAGACAGACTAGTGCAGAAGTAAATCCTCAAGCTTCCAAAGAGGAGAAAGGGAAGAGAAATGAAAAGAAATAAAAAAAAAAAGGATTCAGAAGCATAAGATCACAGAAAGCAGAATAGCAATCAGAGGTTAAGGGCACCTAATGCTGGCAGCTGAATTACAGTAACATGGAACCCACGTGTGCGCCAGTACAAAGAAGCATGAAAAGAGGTTCCGCGTCATTGGAGAGATGCAGATGAAAACAACACTGAGATTCCACCTCACCCCAGAAAGAACGGCTGCTGTCAAGAAATCAACCAGTAACAAATGCTGGTGGGGCTGTGGGGAGAAGGAACCCTTCTGGGAGTGCAGACTGGTGCAACCGCTGTGGAAATCAGTATGGAGATGCCTCAAACAACTGGGATTAGAAGTTTTATTTGACCCAGCTATTCCTCTGTTCGTTATCTCCCAGAAAAATTTAAAAAAGCATACCACAGTGATATATGCACACCCATGTTCACAGCGGCACAGTTAGTAATAGCTACAACTTGGAAACAGCCCCACTGCCCACCAACGAGAGACTGGGTAAAGATGATGTGGTTTCTCTATAAAATGGAGCACTACTCAGCCATAAAGCATGAGAAACTAGAGTCATTCAGAGGAAAATGGTTGCATATTGAGATCATACTCAAGTGAAAGAAGGAGGACACACTTGAGTAAATACCAAATAGTTTCTCTGGTGTGAAAAACTAAAAGTGTACATAAGGTTCAAATGGTACAAGTGATACTGTGAAACAGGAGGAAGGGAAGTGGGAAGGGGAAGAAGGGAACAAAACACGAGTAAAGGAAAAAATGGAAACCAAGTCTTTGTAAATAGAGGGAATGGAGGGGGTGAAAGGAGGGCAGGGGAATGGGGAGAATGAGAACCGAGATGCAGCACGAAAAGGCGCAACATCCCAATGACGAATGGAACCACTGTCTACCTAAAATGGACCAATAAACTCTATGAAGAAAAAACAAAACAAGCCCCACCAAGCTCAGAATCTGAAAAGCTGAAAGTGAAGAAAGAGGCAGAAGACAAGAGACAAAAGGACGAAGGCAAGAAGCACCCTGAGACAAATTCCAATGCAGGAGGCAGGAAGCCACTTCCCCAGTGTGGCAGGGAGGCACGGCAGCGTGCTCCCCTTGTCCCTATCAGCCCACACAGACCTCGCCAGCAAGCCACATAAGACCGAAGCCCCAGGCCACATCAAACACACCTTGCTCAGCTGAACTGGAACCCTGAGCCCTGAGCCCATCAGGCTGACCACAAGTGAGGCCACCAACCAGGCAAGACTCAAAGATGTCAAACCTGCAGCCACACAGACCCAGACCTCCCAACACTGTCTCTCACTCATTTCTAACACCTGGAAGGAGGCTAGAGAGAGAGAGTAAAACAAACCAGAAGAAAATAGGAGGGGCTGGGCATGGTGGTACACTGTAATCCCAGCACTTGGGAGGCTGAAGCAGGAGGATCGCTGTGAGTTCAAGACCAGCCTGGGCTACACAGTGAGTTCCAGATCACTTGCCCCATGAGAAAGTCTCAACTACATAGTGAGACCATCTCAAAAAACCAGCCAACCAACAAACAAAAAAAACATGCAGGACAGGGGTGTAGAGCAGTGCACGCAGCCTTGGGTTCCACCCACTGCACACACAAACCAAAAAGATTTATCCAAACGGAAAGTGGAGCTCGGCTTTCAGGATGACCCATAAACGTACTGTGTACACCTATTCTTCCAGTCCAAGTGTCGGCCCCTCCCCACCCAGCCAGGCTCCCAGAGGCCCTCCCAGCCCCCCGCTGCCATTGGACCCTCCCGGCCACACACCGCACGGCCCTCGGGACTTCCTGTGAACCACTGACTGCCCCTCCGGGGCGCACGACACCACGCGCTGCCTGCTGACCTGCGCAGCGGTTCTCTGCACACAGGAGCACCCCCGCTCGGCCTGCAGGTGCGGCATGACCCGCAGGTGACTTGGGCCCAGTATAACCCCGGGAAGTGCTCAGAGGAAGAACCCGCAGGCAATTTTCGGTCCCTCCTCAGGCCACCCCAAAGCGCTGGGCTCAGACAACTGGGCTGAGACTTACAACTGGGACTTGTTGGTGTTGGGCCCCGAGTTGGCCATGCTGAGGATGCCTCGGCCCGTGTGTGAGAGGTTAGGCCGGAACTCATCTTTGAAGGGCTTTCCCCAGTACGACTCCCCGCCTGGAACAGAAAGGAGCAGTTGGCCGGCAGCCAAGGGCATCAGGCACTGGAGCAATTAGAGTGGGTCCTCAGGTCGCTCCGCCCACCTCCCCCAGCCCCAACGCCCACACAGGCCGAGTGCTGCTCACGCACCACCCTCCTGAGGATTCCCACGGTGCGCGCAGAGCAAGGCCACCTGGAGAGGCGGCAGGAGGGATGGCCGGTCCCTCGTCTCCTGAAGGAGGGTGTCCCTGAGGGCCCTCCCCGCCTGTCGTGGAGGCCTCAAACCACTCGAAGTGGGAAACTGAGGGTCGGGAAATTCTGCCTCGTCCACCACACCCCACATCCAGGGCTCTCCCACCTGCCTGTCCCGTGGGTCCCACTGAGCAGCCAAAGGGGTCAGGGATGGGCGCAGTCTTGGGACCTACCTGTGCCTGTGCCTGTAGGGTCCCCACCTTGGATCTGTGAGGAGAAAAGCTAGTGAGCAGGTCAGCCTGAGGCCATCTGCTGCCCACCAACCACGGCCCACCTGCCCGGCAGGCTCAGCACTCTTGTGAGGACCACAGGGGCCACGTGGGCTGGGCTCTCAAGAGCCAGCCTGCAGGTTCCCCAGCAGGATTCATCTACAGGACACACCAGGGCGCGAGAGGCAGGGCAGGGACAATGCCCCCGCTCACACACACAGCCACAGGCTTGTGTCACTCACCACAAAGTTCCTGATGGATCTGTGAAAGATGGTGCCATCGTAATAGTGCTTCTTGCACAGCTTGACAAAGTTTTCGCAGGTTTTCGGTGTCTGCAAAATAGCCCAACGCTTCTGTCACTTACATCGTAGCCAACAACAGGGTCACAAAAGCCACAAAGAGCCTTTATCACATAGTAAGGCTGAGTGGCTGCTGGTCCTGGGGACCCTGGTCTGGTCAGGCCTCAACAGGGCAAAGACCCCGGAAGCTAAATGACGGGAGCCACAGCTGTGTGAGCTGTGGCAGAGCAGAGGCGGAACCAGGCCCCTTGCCTGGTACACACAGCACACCCACCCCGCAGAAAACACAGGAGAGACAGGCTGTGCTGTGATGGGACCGGGACACCCCGGCTTCCGCTGGAGACGAGCCGGCTTTTCTGCAAGCACGTGCCAGTTGCAGCAGCAGATCTAAGCCCTGGCTACTGAATGACCCCCAAAGGGCTGCGTGATGGCGGGGGGAGCGGTGGTCACACCCACCAGGTCACAGTGCAGCTCCAGGTTGAGGTCACCCTTGCTGGTGTGCAGCCGTACGTAGCCCTTCTTCTTCACGAACTGGTAGCGCAGCATGTCCTCGTCAATGGCAGCTACAAACAGAGCCCCGACTCGGTGCCTGCCCCCGACCTGGGTGGCCCCATTACTGGGCACCACACTACCTCACACGTCATGGCGGGGCAGGGCGGCTCTCCAGAGAACACGGGAGACCGAAGCCACGGGTCTGCCCTGCGAGCAGGCCTGCCGGGTACCGGAGCTGGGGCCACGGGCGCCCATCAGGCTCAGCCACGAACAGGTGGGTGCTGGAAAACGTGCTGAGAACATGGGAGGCCGCAGGAGGCCGCACCAAGGACAGGCTGAGGGCCAGGGGCACGGTGAGCACAGCGCCCCTGGCCAGGGCTGGTGCTGTGCAGCTTCTCCCAACACCAGATCACTTCCACGGAAGGCCACTGCCTTCTGTGCCTGTCGCCAAGCCCTGCAGACCTGAGATCTGACCTGCAGGAACCACGGTGGAGGCTGGGAAGGCAGGCAAGGAGGAGCCACATCGCCTCCACTGCAAACTCAGACCCTAGGGACCACCCGGAGAGGCAGGGGCCGCTACCTGCTTCGTGCGTGGTCTCCGGCACCATGGCAGTGGAGGTGAAGGACGCACTGACCTTCCCCGTGGAGTAATGAGCCTGGCAGAAACACGGTGCCGTTCAGCCCTGCTCGTGGCCCCGCCTCCCTGACCCCCACTCATGGGCCAGGACAGCCCCCCCACCCCACCCCCACCTCTAGGCCCGGGCTCGGGAGCCCGCAAGGACCAGAGGGCGAGGGGCACCTTCAGAGCAGGGTAGGGTAGAGGCCCAGGCCAGGGAAGCGAGTGTGGCCTGGGCGGAGCCTAAATCAAACCCTGGGAGGGCGAGGGGCACCTTCAGAGCAGGGTAGGGTAGAGGCCCAGGCCAGGGAAGCGAGTGTGGCCTGGGCGGAGCCTAAATCAAACCCTGGGGAAAACACGCACGGGACTGGCCTTCTCTCCAGGGACAAGAGTACAAAAGACTTATTTCTTCCTAAAGGTTCCAATTTCTGTAGGAAACACATGACGGCTTTAATCAGGAAAATAAAAGTCCCCATGTCATTTTCCTTTACTAGAAAGGAAAAAAAGGGGGGACACTTGCCCCCTGAGAAAGAAATGCACCGAAGTGCTAACGGTGACTCTTCCGGGGGAGATTAGACAGAAACTCTTAGTTTTCCAAATTTGCCTGAATAATTCCTCACGTGGGAGAACCTGAGAGTTGCCGTCCCTGGCCTCTGTCCTTCCCACAGCTCTGGCTCGTTGGGCTCTGCCTCAACAGGGGAAGGAGAGCAGATGCGGGCCCACGCGCCGGGCACAAACCCAGCACCATCACGCTGCTGGGCTCTGGGAGACACAGACACGGCCGTCCCAGGCACCTCCACAGGCCTCAGTCTCCTGGCTTCGCCCGGGACACCCATGGGCCCATCTCCCTTCCTCCACAGGGAGGAACATCTGGGGACTGCTGTGTCCTGAGGTGTAAAAGCGGCCTTGAGAACCACCAGAGCCAGCAGGTAGCTGCCACGCAGGCCAGGAGAGGGACTGGGCACAGAGCACGGAGGGAGGGAGGCGCGGAGGGAGGCCCTTCACCTCCCCAGAACCTAGCTATACTGGCAGCCCTGGAGATCTGGCATCCAGGGCCCCAGGCACCACGGCTTTAGGGAGCCCCACCGCCTCGCCTCCAGTGCCTCCTGGGCCCCACTTCACAGGGCTCAGAGGCAGGTGATGGAGCCGCTCACTCACAGCATTCAGCTGGTCCACTTTCTTCCTCTCCGGGGCCTTCATGGTGGCTGCCAGAATCTCATCCCCTTTGAACTCCTTGTAGAGCTCCTGCAGTGTCTCTCGGGTCTCAGTATTTGTGTTTTTCAAATAATAAGATGGGTCCTGCTTGGCCTTTTCCTCATCTACAAAACAGCACAGAGACTCTAAGCCGCTACGAGCAGCATAGGCCACAGATGGGTGGGGACAAATCCAGAAAAGACCACGGCAGCAGACGCCACAGGAAGGCCAGGTGCTCAGGGCTCTCCCTCCTGCACTTAAACAGGAGTGAGTGTTGGGGTGGAGGATGGGGGCTCGGGGACAATTCTATTTCCTTTACATTTATCTGTATACTCCAACCTTTTAACCGTGTGCATTCTGCTCATGTTTTTAAAAAGTGATAATTTAAAGTGATGGGTTTCTGGGGTCTTTCCTTCCGGAAGTGAAAAGCCCCACCTGCACCCCTGCAAGAGGGCTGTGGCTCAGCTGGGGCGAAGGGTCAGCATCTTGGACCCCAGCCTCTGGGTCTCCTGAGCTCGGACCTGTCCTGATCTTGTACGCAGCCTTCCCAGACTCTAAGAGCTTCACGCAGCGCTCGTCACTGGACACCTGGAAGCTGTCCTTTGCTGCCTAAGGCCGACTCAGCTCTGGGCGTGAGGCCTGCTGGGGCAGAGGGACCAAGGTCCCAGCTCTCCCCAGGACAACCTACTGTATCCCAGAGCCTCTACCCAGTGACAGCTCCAGCGGTGTCCCTTAGGCAAAGCAGTCCCGACTGCAATCCAGGGAGTGTACAGGCCCCAGGGCTAAGGAAAAGTGGGCGATGTCTTGGCAGCGGGAGAAGTCTGGCCCGCTGGTGTTTCCATGGCTGCAGCCAGACCCCTGGGGTCCCCGGCCCCAGGAAGCCCAAGGGTCACCACCCTACTCCCCCCGTTGTACACACCTGGGTCTATTATTTTCATGTTATTCTTAACGTGGAAGAAGCTGGAGACATTGAACTTGTCCAAATTGGTGGGGTCCTGCAGCAAAGAGAACGTCCAGAAGAGTGAACCCAGGGCTGCGGCCGAGTGGCTGCCACAGGCAATATGGGGTAGGCAGGGCCCACACGGAAGAGGCCGGCTCTCAGCCACGGGCTGGGCCATAAGTGGGGGTGGGTGTGCACAGGGCACAGACCGGCTAGCTACTCACCAAACGGCATCCCCTCTGCCCACAAATACAGAGTGTCACTGGATGGTGGGCAGCCACAGGAAGGCCTGGGCAGCCACAGGGCTACGTTCTGATCAGCATGGTACAAGCCGCGGAGTGAACCGGATGCCTCAGCCGACCCGCCCAGCCACAGCTCCGTCCGGCCACCCCTACTTTTCTGTCAGAGTTCATCAGTTCACTCCAGGCTGACACCTTCAGGGACCCTGTCCTTGAAATGGTATGAGGGAGGAGAGCCAGCCTGCAAAGTGGCCAGCCACTCCATTCTGACGCCTCAGGGGCAACCCAGGGGCAGAGAGCGCAGCCAAGGCCCGGGGTAACCCAGGGAAGAAGGCAGAGGCGCTGAGAGTAACCGTGGAACTACAAGGGGCAGGGTCACGGGAGGAGATGGAGCCCGGAAAGCCGGGCAGGCAGGGGAGCTGAAACTCACCTGGAGGGTGATGATGTCCTGCCGAGAGAAGGGCTCGTCAGTCAGCAGGTCCCGGAAGTTCTTGGCCTTGATGTTCAGCTGCTCCACTGCCTGCAGCCGGAAGGAACTGGCATGACACTCTACCAGAGCACCACGGGGAGGGGAGGGCGAGGACAGAAATGACCGAACACCTGCCAGTGCCCCACCACCTGGGAAGGGCAAAGCCGGCCGTGCCCGGACGGTGACTGGAACCCAGCCTGCTCACGGGAGGGTCCCGGCACGGCTTCCGGAGCAGCCACTTCCCACCGCTGCCCTGTCTCCTGAGCACCAAACACGGAGACGAGCACGCAGTGAGCACGTACGCAACACGGCCCCTCTGCTTGACCAGTGGGCTTCAGGTTAGAAGTCCCAGAGCCCTGGACAGCACTGGCCACCCCGACCCTGCAAACGTCCAGGTGGGGAAGGGAAGGGGCACAAACCTGCCCTGCAATGGCGGTCTGTCCCCAGGCTCTGCCCATCTTTTTTTTTTTCTTGTTTTGGTTCCGGGATCGAACTCAGGACCTTGTGCTTTCCAGGCAGGCAGCGGCACCACTGAGCTAAGTCCCGGTCCTACTCCCTCCCGTGTCTACCCTGCTCCCCACAGGAACCCCTCCCACAGCCTGCCACTGCCCCCGCCGGGGAACCCTGCCTCCCTATCCCTCAGGGCTCAGCCCTCCGCGGGGCCTGGGCTCTGCGGGCCCCTTCCAGCAGTCAGAGCTGCCTGCACTTCAGGTTTGCAGGCCACAGGGAGCGCCTCCCTCTTTCTGGGTCTGCGAAAGTAGGAAGGTGCCCTGCGCTGGTGGCTGTGACACCAAGTTTCACAAGGCCAGGTCGAGATTGCTGTGCTCACCCCCAGCGCAGCCAGGCTGGTAGAATATCCCCAAAAACACACCCAAGGGCCTGGTGCCGCGCTGTCTCGGCCCTGAAGCAAGGCCTCACCTCATAAGCATAGACATTGCCAGTCGTCTTGATGGCCACAATATGAGTGTTGTTAGTGAACACGGTGAACAGCACCGGGCAGTGGTACTTCCCTAGGACAGAGCACACACGGGGAGGCCGGTCACCCTCGAGGGCTTTGATGATTCCCAACAGAAGACCACCAGGGGCCAAGGCCGAGGCGGGCGAGAACTACTTGGGTAGAAGGTCACAGAAGGTAGAAGGCAGCAGCCCAGGCCAGCTGCCCAGAGCTGGAAGCGGAGGGGAAACAGCTGCTAAAGCCATTACAAAACTCGTTCATCCTGCAAGACCCAACCCTGACTCCTCTCCCCTCAGAGGTGCAGGCTCTGTGACCACTGTGCCAGCCCCCAGCAGAAAAGAGTCTGTCTCCCCAGGAAACCCTTCACACCTGCAGCTCCCACCAGCTACGCCATCTCCTGGCCTCCCTCTCCCCTCACCTTGGTGACTGGCGAAACACACAGGTTTCCTGCCCTGATAATCCCCTACCCAGTACCTAGGAGCCCTGTTAAGTCCCAAAAACTAGCAGACTTAAAAACTAAGATACTTTAGAGGTATCACCCACAACATCTGGGTAGACTTCTTGCAAATCTGCTTTGAAAACTAAAAAATAATTAGGAAACTAAGGAAATCTGACCATAAGGTGCACATCTATGAGATTAAAGAACCCCTATTAGGGCCAGGGATTTAGCTTAGTGGTTCCACTGCCTGCTTTGCAAGCCCAAGGTTCTGAGTTCGATGCCTGGTACCACACACACACACACACACACACAGACACACACACCCTGTTAATTTCTTACAGGTCACAAAGCTATGGTGATGGTGTAAGTCTTGATCCTTTTGCGCTACAAAGTGGAACACTTAATCAGGAAATGACACACGTTTGGAATTTGCTTCAACATCATTGCAGGAAGTGTCCAGTGGGAGCACAGACTAACCAGCCAGGCCACAAGCTGAGGCCAGGGACTGAGGCTGTTATGGATCAGAGATAGCTACTCATGATACTAATACTCTCTACTTTCCTGTGTCTGAAATTTCCAATTAAAAATAAGAGGCTCAGGGTTTAGCTTAATGGTAGGGCACTTGCCTACTATGTGCAAGGCCCCAGCTTTGATCCTGAGCACAAAAAAAGAAAAAGGTGAGGCCAGACCTCATTCCTCCTGTTAGTGGTTCCCATGCCAGAGGAGGAGCCCAAGTCTGCCCATGACTTTCCAGGCCCTGCTCTGCCTCCTGTTGTCACCCCTGGCCTCTCAGGCCACATCTATATTCACATCTCCAGCCTCCTCCTCAGCACCTGCTGTTCCACCAACAGTGGACTCCTGGCTGCACACAGATACTCTCGAGAGCAGGCGCACTCTGGAGCCTTTGCACTGGCTGTGCCCTATACCTGGAATGCTCATGCCGTCCCTCCCTTCTGCCAGATTTCCTCTCAAACCTTGGCTGCTGGTCCCTCCATGGCCCTCTCTCCCCCGGTCCTGCTCTGCTCTGATCCACACATGGCACAGCCTCTGATACACTCTACTGATCCGCTGTAAGTTTTCTCTCTAAGTGGAAGGTAAGCGCCTCTCATTCAGGGAGGCTCGGCCTGCTTTGCTCTCTGCACATGGCAGGTGCTCCACAAATACACGCTTGCTGAAGGAAAGACACACTGTATGCCCTTCCCTTAATCTGCTGATTAGAGGGCAGGTGCCCAGCACTCAGCCACCAGCAGGGAACTCCTAACTCCACTGACTGTCAGCAATGCTTTTGCCCTGAAGTTTATTCCCCCATGACCCGTAACACCAGACTCTGTGCTCAGAAAAAGGAGGCCGGGGGACTGGGGATGTAGCTCAGTGGTGACACCGCCTGCCTCGCAAGCACAAGGTCCTGAGTTCGATCCCCAGTACCAAAAGGGGAAAAAAAAAGAAAAAACAAAAACAAAACAGGAGGCTGGGGCCCATCCTCACATGCACTTAGTATTTTCTGGAAATCACACTCCCGCTGACAGACAACAACCTAAACCAGCGCATCTGTGCAGCAAAAGAAGACCTGGGCAAAGGCCACAGAGAATTTCCGGCAAGAGCAGCCTGTGACACCATGCCTCAGCTCAGACATCTGACCAGGAGACAAGAGGAGGGAGTGCAGGGGTATAAAGCAGGAGGCCCCCAGCCGAGCTGGGGCTTCAGGAGCAGCGGTGACGAGAAGCCCAGCTGACAGCTGCCCGGAAAGTCAGGACACCACACCCACAGCCCAGCCACCACCCTGGTCTCAGCCTAAGCAGCCTCTGCCTCCAGTAATGAATGTGCCACAGCCTTAGCCAGATGCGGCCTGCACTCTGCAGGGCCTGACTGCACCACGAAGGCCAACAGCAACTCTCAATGGCTGACTGCCTTTGTGCGCGAGTGGTTCCATCCCTGACTACCTGAGCCTTTAACAGGTCATGTGACATCTCTTGAAAAATGAAAAGCAAATACGAGGCAGCTGGACTGGGAAGGAGCGAATGAGGGCTGGGCTTAGGGCTCAGTCGTGGAGTGCATGTTCAGCATGTATGAAGCTCTCACTCTGACCCCCAGCACCACAAAGAAAGGAATGTCTGATTCCTAAAACAACTTGGTGAGAGCAGGGCCCGGGCTCCGAGGGAAAACCCTAGAGCCTACAAGGACGCTCACCTTCGCTGTTCTTGGCAAAGTTCAGCTTGATCAGGGATCTCCCGTCGAGTTTCTGGAAGGCACATAAACTAGTGATGAAGGGGTTGGGAGTATTGTGGAAGAGCACTCGTTAGCATGCACAAGGCCTAGGTTCAAACCCTAGTATCACACACTGTCTCTCTCACACACACTAACAATAAATAAGTGACAGGAAGAGATACTGAGGCTGAGAAGCCAGCTGAAACGGACCAGAAAGATTTCTCTCCAGCCAACCCTTTGCAGCTATCAGCCAGAGTCTAGCTGCAGGGACCCCTTCAGGAGGCCCTGGGACATGGACAGACGCAGAGGGCCACAGAATCTATGTGATCCCCACACCCCAGAGGCTCTGAGAACCCAGGTTTGTAACACACAAACTCGGGGGTGACCGCTGGGCTAAAGGATGGGGCTACAGGCTGGGGGATGGTTTTATGCTTCTGCAATGTCTGACCCAGGGACTCTGCATAAGAAACACATACTCTACCAAGTCCTTATCTGAACATCTTTATGGCAAGCACCAATTACTTCTGAAATTAAAAAGTAAGTGTAGGGCCAGGGATTTAGCTCAGTGGTTCCACCACTTGCCTTGTAAGCACAAGGACCTAAGTTTGATCCCCGGTACCAAATAAATAAATAAGTGTATTTCTAACATTAGTGAGGGTACCCAAGTGTTCAGCTTACTCTGTTTATGAATACTTAAAAAAATAAAACATTACAGGGCTGGGGATTTAGCTCAGTGGTGCCACCGCCTGCCTGCCTCACAAGTACAAGGACCCGAGTTCAATCCCTGGTACAAAAAAAAAATTACAAGTGAAAGGCTGGGGTATAGCTCATTTGCCCTGGACTCACTGCCAGAACCCGCCCCCACACAGAAATTAGAATAAATACACTGAAATGCTAAGAGTGTACGAGGAAGTAAGATCACTATTTGCTGAAGCATACCTTCAGTTCACTCTCCGACGGGAAAGCTGATCAATGATAAAATGTCCAGGCAGTAAGAGGGAGAGCGCACCTGTGCTGCCCACATACCAGCAGCCACTGCCACCTTGGTGGGGCTGGCCCTGCCCCTACCACCCGGAGCTCAGGGAAGACATCAGGGGTCTTGGGAGCAGGTCCCTGGGCTGACCTCTGACCCTACGCCATTCCTGACCAAGCACATCTGCTCCTCCCGCACTGGCTCCCTTCCACCCTGTTACTCACCGCTCACCATCCCCCACACGCACGTGCAGGTGACACGGCAGCAGAGCCGGGACCCGCCCTCCAGGTGCACGAGCCAGCAGAGAGCCCACACGCGGCACACCACCAGGCCCATGTGGCATGTGGCCGGCCAGCCCTCAGCCCAGGGACTTTTTTTCAGATTTAGCTGGAGGAGTCTCTCAGTGCTCACCCTGGAGACGACACCTATGCTGCAAAGAACCTTGTACCGGCCCAGGGGCAGAAGAGCTGGGATGGCACAGATGGGCTACTAGCTTCTCCCATAACCCTAGGGAAAGTCATTTTCTTACTTATTTAGGCGGTGCTGGGAAATGGCCCCAGTGTCTTGTGCACAATGACAAATGCTTTACCACCACGCTGCACCCCAGCCCTTGGGAAGAACCCTGTTGCTTCTACCGGTACCAGAGCTGGAGCCATGGCCAGCTCTGGGCCCCTGACTCACCATCCCGTTCATCGGTGCTCTTACACCAAGCCCCAAGTAGGAGTAAACGTAAGTCACTTTGACAGAAGGGGCAGAGTCGCTGGGTAAAATGCACGCGATCCCCCTCTGTACTGGGTTGAAAAGTATTTCCCCAAAGCTCAAGCTCACTAGGAACCTGTGAACATGACCTAACTTGGAAATGGAGTCTCAGCTGAGGTTGCTCCTCAGATACTCCCGGGCCGCCCGCCCTCCCCCAGCCTCACTGTGCCTCTCTATAGCAGAATTCCTGGCATCCACCTGCCCGTTCCTGCTGCAGACCTAGCACACAGGGAAGGCTAACACCTTCGTGTTGAATAAAGAGTGCAGCTAAATACATGAAAAAAGGGGCCCACAGAGGGAAGGAGATAGGTCTCTGAGAAATAAAGGGACCAAGGAAACAGAATGAGTACAGCATAAAACTGTACCTTACGTAGCAAAAAGACAAAAAAGTCACTGGTGTTGCCATGGACACAGGAACCAGGCACTTTCTTTCCCACACTGCTACTGGGAGTGTAAAACAACAGAACAGCTTTCTAGGGCAATTGTGCAGTAGCTATTGGAACTGAAAAGGTGCCCTCCTCCTTTGACCTAGCAGTCCTGGCAGGATACTCCCGCATGCCCCAAAACACAGGCACAGAGATATCCCCTGCATCCGTCTGTACTGGCACAGGACTTGAGATCCAGTGCAATACGCCCACGGAGGATACACACACTGAAGATAAGACTGTACTGTTCGGGTCTCTGGGACACACTACAGGGCACGTAGAGCAAGGTACAGATTGCACTGTGACTGCATGTATGCCCAGGAAGGCACATACCGCTGTCCCTCAGTACCCACCGCAGACTGGCTCCAGGACTCCCCAGACACCAGAATCAGCGGAAGAGCTACTCACCCACATAAAACGGCACAAGATTAGCAAAACACCTACACCCATCCTCTTGTCTACTTTAAAGTAACACTAGGTGACTCAATACCTCATACAATGTCAGTCCTCCATAAACTGGATCATTTAGGAAATATCAATAAGGAAAAAAGTCTGTACATGCTCAGTACAGGCGGAATGAAGAAAAAAAAAGTTAATGCCCGACAGCTGGTTGAATCTACAGAGGCGAAGGCCCACTGATTGCGCACACATGCGAACACGGGTGGGGACGTTTCTGTAAAGGAGAGAGCAGGGAAGGCAGGACTGTCGCTCCTGTCTTCTGTCTCCTCATCAGTGGGTCGATAGCGCCTCATGAAAATCACTAGGACAGCCAGATGTGGTGGCACACGCCTATCATCCCAGCACTGAGGAGGCTTGTGAGCTTGAGGAAAGCCTGGGCTACACAGGGAGTTCTAAGCCACCCTGACAACAGGAGACTCTATCAAAAACAAAAAAGACAGGACTCGGGATTGAGATCCGTGGCATCTGGCCTGCCTTACAAGCACAAGGTCCTGAGTTTGATCCCCCGGGGGAGGGGCCTCTCTCACCAGCATCACTTAAATGGCAGCAGGGCCACCTACCTCTCCATTGCTGGGGTTGGTCCCGTACTTCTTAAGCCATGGAACGATGTTCCTGAAGGGAAGAGAGAACAGAAAGTGTCACCACAGGTGGAGGTGTACCTCAGTGGTAGAGGTTATGCTCAGCACCTCTGAGGCCCTGGGTTTGAGCTCTGGCACCAAAAAAACAAATAAATAGAAAATGGGCATAATGCTTTCAAATACATCACAGGAAACCTATGCACCTTCCTGAGGGCTCTGCTTTCACAGAGGGAAAGCATGGAGCTCATTAACCTTCCAAAAGAGAAGCAGGTGTGCCATTAAGGACCTGACAACCCCCACAAGTGATGAGGGGCGACAGCACCTGCCAGCTAAAGCTGTCTGCCCAGGGGTCAGAGCAGCACTGCGGCCATGCTCCCGAGGCCGGGACATTCCTTCCTCGGTCACCCAGAGCTCCTGAGGCTGCTGGGACCAGCAGCCTGGTGGCCTTGGCACTGTCTGTGAAAACCGGGTGTCCCTTTCCTTAGTGGTTTGATAACCTCTTGAATTATAACAAAATTCAAAGGAAAACTCACAGCAAATCAAAGACGACACCCTCTGGAGTGCAGACTGGGTAGGCGAAGGGCTGCAGAGAGAGACTGAGAAAGGGTGTCATTCCTGGTCAGCTGTCAGGCACACTGATTAGGAGTGGCCGGCAGGCCACCCTCTGGCTTCCCTCCATGGTCATTCTTCCAACAGTCTCAGCGGCTCCTGTGCGCGGACTGCACCGAGGCCGGCACCAGAAGCGCCCCAGCTTCACCCCTCAGCAGCTCTGGGACAGGCCGGTCCGTACCAGGCACCGGTCCTAGGACAAGGTACAGCCGCCAGGCTCTCCCCTGCCGCACGTTGTGTAAGGGCTCTGTCACCACCTTCAAGTGCCAAGCAGATCCAGGGTTTAGGGGGAGGTGGCCTTGTGGAGGCAGAAGTGGAATTCATTCACACAGCAGGCCACACCTCTCTACCAACAGCCGTCTTAGAGTCTGGTGGGGCAACATGTCTGGAGGTGCCCTGCCTGCCCCTAACCACAGAGTGTACGCACAGTACCCCTCATTTCCAACATACGCCCCCCCATTTCTAAGGGGCTGGAGCATGGAGGTCAAGGCCTGAGTCTCCAGAGCCCTCGGGGAGTTCTGAGGCGCCCAGGGGAAGAGCTGCACGCGGTGAGGTGCCACAGCCAGCCTTTCTGTTTCTTCGGACATGGTCTTGCTGTGTAGCTCAGGCTGACCTCAAACTCATGTCAAGTCTCCTGCTTCAGCTCCCCAAGTAATTACAGGCGTACACCATCACACCTGGCCTCCTTTTCTTGCAAGAGGTTTTTGCTGCTAGCCATCCAGGGCCCTGGCTGACCTGGTTTCTGTTGGTACATCCATTATCTATGAGTTTAGTCAACACAGGTCAGTCTCTAAGACCTGGACAGCCAGGCAGCAACAGTGCTCCAATCCTGCCACACTCCAACCGGGCCCGGCACGGTGGCTTTTAGGACAGTGGCCCAGGGAGTCTTCTCGAGCAACCCTGCCACCTGTCTCTGGCCCAACCTTCAGCTCTAACTGCAGCCGTGGTGGTGCTGCTGCTGGTGAGTGACCAAAGCAAAAGCCAACACTGAAGCCGGCTCCAAATGCTATGATGATAAATCAGCACCCGCTCCCTGACCTGACCCGAAGCATCATTTTCACAGTAACCCAAGGTAAGTAATGCGCAGAATGGATACAGATCAGACCTCCTGGAGGGCCAGGCACAGTGGTGCCCGCCTGTAATCCCAGAACTTGGGAGGCTGAGGCAGCAGGATGTCACGTCACAAGTTCGAAGCCAGCCTGGGCTACTTAATGAGTTAAGACCAGCCTGAACTACACTGCAAGAACCTGTCTCAAAAAAAAAAGCCGGTACAGAATCCCAATGATGAATGTAATTGTATTGTATACCTAGATTGTACCAATAAACTCAATAAAAAGAAAGGAAAAAAAAAAAAAAAAGCCAGGCATGGTGGCACACACCTGTAATCCCAGCACTCAGGAGGCTGAAGCAGGAGGATCACTGTGAGTTCGAGACCAGCCTGGGCTACACAGTGAGTTCCAGGTCAGTCTCAGCTACATAGTGAGACCTTGTCTCAAAACACCAAAAAAAAAAAAAAAACAAAACCGACCGCCTGAAGAACTGGACCCAAAAGCGAAGGACCGGTCACCTCAATCCACACCCACAAGGCTGACAACAAACCCGGGCAGGTGGACAGGACAAGAGGTCCTGACCAGCTACTCTCCCCCCGCCCGTGCAGGTGCTGCTGGCTCCCCCGGGCGCACAGGCGGCCTGGCTTCTGGGCTGCAGTGCGTTTACCCCAAGATCTCCCTGCACAGGAGACTCTGTACCTTCCTCGCTGCCCTGGGGCACCTGACTAACCTGCCCCTACTGGGTGCTGGGGGGACCAGGTCAGCCTGGTCAGCTCCCCAGTGTCACCCCGACATTCAGAAATCACAGTCTGGGGGACGGGAGGCTGTGCAGACACAAATGTGTGCAGGGCAGAAGGGCCGCGGCTCAGGCTCCCGAGACCGGGCCCGTCCACACCCACGTCCAGAGCAACCACAGGTCGTCAGGCCTCACCCTGCTCCGCAGCAGACCCTGCTCTGTTCACGTACACGCTACTCGGCTGACTGTCATTGCAGTCGTGCCCCGGCTTCCCAGGTAAGAGACAGCTTCACTATTGCTGCTTCTGCTGCTGCTGCAAATCAGGAGCAGTCATAAAGCCTTGCAGGCTTGGGCCCAGCATGAGAGCAGTGGGACCAAAGCCCAGCAGCCGGACTTCCCGGATGTGACCGCTGGGGGAGACGCTTCACTCTTCTAAGCAATGGTTCTGTCAACTATCAAACAGCTCAACCTCAGAGAGCAAGAGGTTACAAAGGTAACACTTGTAAACACAAACTCAAACACCGAGAAAATACCCGCTAGCTCTTGTCGTGCCTGGGTGCACCTTGTCCCAAAGCAAGGAAGAAGCAGGTGGGGAAAGCTGAAAGTAGACAGACCCCACCTGCATCTTCAAGGGGCAGAAGGACCGTCGGATGGAACACAATAGCCGGGTGTGGTGGCGCACAGCCATGATGCCAGCACTTGGGAGGCTGAGGCAAGAGGATCGCTGTGAGTTTGAGGCCAGCCTACACTACAAAGTGAGACCCTGTCTCAACAAACAACAGGGCCAGGGATTTAGCTCAGTAGTTACACTGTCTGCCTCGCAAGCACAAGGTCCTGAGTTCGATATCCAGTACCAACACCAACAAAAAGACAACACACTCAGAACCCCAATCTGAAAATCCAGGAGCTGACAGGCTCTGACATCTGAAACTTTTTAAGCATCACATCAATTTTCAAAATGGTAAGGATTTTGGATTTTCAGATAAGGGATGATAATTTGTAAAGCCTATAAAAGTATTTTTCAAAATCCAAAAAAACCCCAAATCTGAAACAGATCAGTCCCAAGCATTTCAGAAAAGGGACAGTTATCTGGGCATGGTGCCACACACCTGTAACCCCAGGACTCTGGGAGGCTGAGGCAGGAGGATCACCACAAGCTTGAGGCCTACATGGGATACAAAGTAAATGTGAGACCAGCCTGGACTACCTAGCAAGACCTTGACTCAAAAAAAAAAAAAAAAAGAAAGAAAGAAAAGGGATAGTCAACCTGTATCAGAACATAAAATGCCCACAGATGAAATAAAGAACTCTTACCTGCAGTGGTCAAAAGGTAAACGACGAAAATTTGCTTGTGGGACATCTGTTTAAAATAAAATAAAAAACAGAAAACTTATTCTGTAAACTATTTCATCTGTGTGCACTTACCAACTATTCAATGGCATTTCAGAAAAAAGCTCATGGGGACTACTTCATAGAGAAATTGCTGAGCCAGGGATCTAACTCAGTGGTGCTACCACCTGCCTTGCAAGCCCAAGGACCCAAGTTCAATCCTCAGTACAAAAAATAAATGAATAAATAAAATAGAAAAAAGAAAAAAGAAAAAGAGGGCTGGGGATTTGGCTCAGTGGTTCCATCGACTGCCTTGCAAGCACAAGGGCCAGAGTTTGATCCCTGGTACCAAAAAGAAAAGAAAAAAAAATTGCTTTTGAAGCCTGGGATATAGCTCAGTGGCGCCACAAGTCCTAAGTTCAATCCCCAGTACCAAAAGAAGGCAGGAAGGAAGGAAGGTGGGAAGAAGGAAATTTAAAAAAAAATGAAATTGCTGGGCTGGGTATTTGGCTCAGTGGTTCCACCACCTGCCTTGCAAGCACAAGGACCTGAGTTTGATCCCCAGCATTTAAAAAAAAAAAAAAATTGCTATTGACTACTACTTTTTAAAATTATTTTATTTGTTTATTTAATGGTGTTAGGAATTGAACCCAGGGCTTCAAGTACATCAAGCATGTACTCTATTACTATGCTATACCCAACTCCTGGATTAAATATATTTTAATGAACGTAACTAAAGTACATGGGATACATCAAAAAAGAACTCAGAAGCTGGGTACAGTGGGGCACAACTATAAGGTGCACGACTCAGGAGGATGAGACGAAGATTTCAACAATTTAAAGGGCCAGCCTGGAGAACATAGTATATAAAGTCCTTATCTCAAAAAAAAAAAAAAA